CACCAGGACAGGAGCAGAGGTGGCCATAGCTAAGGGAAACAATCCATTAAATACCCGTCATGCCACCAGCACCTTGTAAAGGTGATTCAGGAAATAGATGGGTTGATATTGTGTGTGTGTGTGGGGGGGGGTACATGCCCACGCGCACGCACGCACGCAAACATGATTTCTTTTCTAAAACCACCTTTAAGTCTAAATACATGTAAAAAACATATCCAGAGCAATGAATGTTTCCAGAGAACCACCCATGTTTATCACAAACTCAGATAAACAAAATGTTAACAGCCCCCCAAAAGGCTTGGTCACCCCAAAGCTCAACGCAGCCCAACACCGCAGAGCTCTGTACGAATGCGGGCTTTGGAGCTTCATATAAAGGAAATCAACAGCACGTGGCTTTCATCTCACACTTCTCTTGCTCAACACATTGTGAGTGAGACGCCCCCGGGTGGCGGCATTTCCTTCTAGAGCACAGAGTGGCTGTGCAGCGGCGCATTGATCTGCGCATCTGTGGACAGACATCTGGGTTGTTTGCAGCTTTGGGCTGATAGGAACAGGGCTGGAGGCTAAGACAGGAGGATGGCAAGTTGGAGGCCAGCCCGGGTAATTTAGCAAGACCTTATCTCAATATAAAATAAAAAGAGCTGGGAATGTAGCTCAGTAGTGGAGCAGCCCTGGGTTCAATCTCTAGTACCAAAAACTAAGGAAGTGCTACCTTAAATAGTCCTGTGTGTGTTATTGGTGTCTTTTAGTGGACATGTGCACATATTTCTGAGGAATTGCTGGGTCATTAGGTAGGTAGATGTTCGTCCCTAGGGGTTATTGCCAAATATTTTCCAAAGTGGCTGTGCCAAGTTATACAAGCAATAGTAATAGATGAGGTTCTGCTCACATCCTCCTCTTCCTTTTCTTTTTCTTTTGAGACAGGGCCTCACTATGTTGCCCAGGCTGGTCTAGAATTCGTGGCCTCAGGCAATCCTCCTGCCTCAGCCTCCCAAATAGCTGGGACTGCAGGCAAGCCTTTAATTTGAGAAAATGAGTTCTTGAATAAGGAGCTGGCATTGGATTGCCTGCCTTTGGATCCTAGCCGTCTCCTTAACATGTGACCTCCAGGGCTGGGGGTGTAGCTCAGTGGTAGAGCACTTGCTTGTCCGAGGCCCTGGGTTGGATCCCTGCACCCAGAAGCAAACAAAACATGCGACCTTCAGCAAAGCCTGCTTCCTGATTTACAAAATGGGTTAAAAGTCATGATGTGTGCCAGGAGAGGTGGCACTGTGATCCCAGCTACTGAGAGGCTGAGGCGGGAGGATCACAAGTTCAAGGCCGGCCTGAGCAACTTAGCAAGACCCTGTCTGAAAATAAACAATAAAAAGACAGGGGACGTAGCTCGATGGTAAAGCACCCCATGGTTCAATCCTCAGTATCCCCCACCCTCAAAAAAAAAAAAAAAAGAGAGAAGAAAAGTCATGTGGCTTTTGTGATGATTCTCAATATCTCTTAGTAAGTGCTCCATAAATGTTAGTTATTTATCACCAGTTTTACTACAGACCTCTAGAACACTTTACCTCTTCCAACCTCAGTTTCCCTGCCATAAAATGGTTGTAAAAATACCCACATATTCACATAGTTGAGAATCATGTGTAAAAGTGCTTAAATTTTTTTTTGAGATATGACTTATTCTTCTCCCCCCACCCCCGCTTTTTTTTGGCACTGGGGATTGAACCCAGGGGCTCTTTACCACCGATCTATACATTCCAATTCTTTTTATTTATTTTATTTGTTTGTTTATTTATCTTGGTACTAGGGATTAAACCCAGGGGACCTTAACCACTGAGCCACATCCCCAGCCCTTTTTTTATATATATTTTATTTAGAGACAGGGTCTTGCCAAGTTGCTTAGGGCCTTGCTAAGTTGTTGAAGCTGTCTTTGAACTTGCGATCCTCCTGCCTCAGCCTCCCCAGACTCTGGGACTACAGGCATGCACCACCACACTCAGATAAAAACTTTTTTTCTTTAGATAGGACTGGAATAGCCATGTGTGTGAGGTGTGGTGGCACAAGCCTATAATCCTCAGGAGGTTGAGGCAGGAGGATTGAGAGTTCAAAGCCAGCCTCAGCAATTTAGTGAGGCCCTAAGCAATTCAGTGAGACCCTGTCCCTTGATAAAATATTTTTAAAAGGCTGAGGATGTGGCTCAGTGGTTAAGTGCCTCTGGGTTCAATCCTTGGTACAAAAAAAAAATTAATTTTGAGACAGGGTCTTGTTGTCAAGGCTGGCCTCAAAGTTGTGATCCTCCTGCCTCAGCCTCCTAAATTGCTGGGATTACAAGTGTGGACCACCACATCCAGCTGAGATATAATTTACAAAATATAAAATTCACCCCTTTTCAGTGGTTCAGTCTGGAAAGAAACTCCTAGCCCATTAGTCATCAGGCCCCCCTCCCTGGCCCCAACCCTCAGCAATTGCTAACTTGTTTTCTATTTCTATGGATATTTAAAGTGCCAATTTATTGCTTTTCTAAAGTTTTTTACTTTTGCAAAAGCAAAAATTAAATACTAACATCACTGCTTGTCTCTAAAGCAAAGCCAAGTTGTGGGTAAATTAATGTGTTTAGATATCCCTCCAAACTGTGTTTGACATGATTTCCAAAAGTATGTGTTTTGGACACACATAAGATGCACTTAATACATTTGTGTGTGTGTGTGTGTGTGTGTGTGTGTGTGTGTACAGATAGATAAGATAGATGGGTGAATAGATAGATGGATAGATGAAAGGATGGGATAGATACAGGATGGTCCAGGCGCAGTGTCACACGCCTGTAATCCCAGCAGGAGGCAGGAAGATTGCCGGTTTGAGGTCAGACTGGGCAATTTAGCAAGATCCTGTCTCAAAATAAAAAGTAGTAAAAAGGGCTGGGGATGTAGCTCAGTGATAAAGCATCCCTGGGTTCAATCCTCCCTCCTGAGAAAAAAGAGAGAAGGATAGGCCAGGTGCGTTGGTGCACGCTTGAAATCCCAGTGGTTCAGGAGGCTGAGGCAGGAGGATCATGAGTTCAAAGCCAAGCTCAGCAATTTATCAAGACCCTGTCTCAAAAAAAAGGGGGAGGCTGGGGATGTGGCTCAGTGGTTAAACACCCCAAGGTTCAATCCCCAGTTAACCCCTTCGCAAAAAAGAGAGAAGGATAAATGGATGGATGGATGGACGGACGGATGGATGGACAGACAGAGCACACCTAGCAGACAGCTGCAGTTTACACTCATTCATTCAACAAATACCCATGTGCACTTGGGAAAATGGGCCATAGAGAGAAGCAGGATGTGATTCTTGCTTCCAAGGAATTTGCCATCTAGTGGGAAAGAGAAACCCGTGCACCCCTCGCTGTGAATGCAGAACAGAAGGAAATTAGACTTGGATGGACTGGCACAAGGGTTGGGGGAGACTTCGATTTTTACCTGGAGAACCCACAGAAGAGGTGTGAGGTGGTACTTCAAGGATGTATCCTGATGGGAAGGCAGTGTGGGGGAGGAATACTGAGAGCCAAGGCTGGGATGCAGGGACACATGGTGTCAAGCAGTTCCACTGGGAACAGCCGGCTCTTCACACCCCAGTCAGGGCTTGTCTTGCACCTCCATGGACGGTAAACCAGAATTGTTGTCTGAGAGGCCATGGTTAGAAGGGGTCAGATGGGAAAGGCAGTGAGAGGGGAGTCAGGCTAGCTGTGCTGCCATCTAGGCAGGGCCACCCTAAACCAACTGTGACATGTCAGAATTTGTGGACATTCTCACATTTATTGTGTACTATGGTATTGTTCTGTTTTGAATTTCATAGGCAGAACGTGTCTTTTCAGTATGAGACCTCCCAAGGTGTCATCAGGCAGAAGTGCAGAGGGCTCTTGATTGGCAGTTAATGACCGGGGAAGGGAAGGGAAGGGCGAGGGAGGGAACTCACCCATAATCCTTCCACTCCACTCAAACCCAGCTCAGGGGAAAGTCTCTGAAACTGAAGGAGGACAATCCTGAGATTTACTGCTGGGACAGGAAGCCAGGGAGGAATGCTGAGGGGGAGCTGGGGACACTGATAGCAAAGACTTTGAACTTTGAAGCAAGGGTCAAGTTGCCAGATCCTAAGAAATGGCTGAATTCAGTGTCCCCATTATACAGGTGGAGTGACCAGGGAGACAGATTTGCCCAAGGTCATTAATGGAATTAGTGGCAGAGCAAGGATTATTTGGGGTCTCTGCTTGAGCTAAGGCCCCTGAGTTGGGAGCACAGGGAAGGGAGAAAAAGGAGGTCCTACTTCCTACCCCCACCCCCATGCTCCAGTAAGGTGACAGATGTGAATGCTCCCACCGGGTTTCTATCCTCAGAAGTAGGAACAAAAGCTGGACCTCAGCGTCAGTGAGAGGAGGGGATGCTTCTGCGCTGAGTGCTTCCTGAGGGATGTCCAGGGGACGGTGGCCAAGGCTCCCCCTTACCCACCACTGGTAATGGTCCTGCTGAGCCTCTCAGGACTCACAACCAGGGAACCTCGAAGTATGCCAATCATAGATGTGAATCTTTCAGCTGTTGGAGGGCCGTGAGGGGTCAGGAGCCAAGAGATCAGGGAGGTCGGGTAGATGGACAGTAGTTAGGTCGGGGGAGAAGCCACCCGGAAGCACGAAACCAGGCACCGAGGTGTGATGATCGACTTTTCTGAGAACCCTTTTGGGAGAAGTAGGGGCGGTTCCATGAGGACTCCAAGTGGTCAAATCAGAAGGGAGGGACAGAGGGGAGGTCGGGACAGACCCCTCAACGAGGGGATCCCGGGACTCACACCTGGGACATCGATTGCGCCAATATAAGCCCCGCCGGGTCCGCTCCCTTCCCCCCTCCCCCCGGGGCTCAGAGGCTCCGCCCCCTCGAACGGCCTATCGTGAGAAAGGGCGGGGCTATGTTAATAAGGCCGGGCCGGCCACTTTGAGCGCTCAAGTGGCTCTGCAGAGCGCTGGCCAAGCGGCAGCGGCCATGGCGCTGGCAGGTCTGACCACCGGCTTGCAGGTCCCACGGGTCGACCCCGGCGCGGACTCGGACTCGGACACAGACTCGGAGGACCCGAGTCCCCGTCGCAGCGCGGGCGGTCTGCTCCGCTCGCAGGTCATCCACAGCGGGCACTTCATGGTGTCGTCGCCGCACAGCGACTCGCTGACCCGGCGGCGCGACCAAGAGGGGCCGGTCGGGCTTTCCGACTTCGGGCCGCGCAGCATCGACCCCACACTCACCCGCCTCTTCGAGTGCTTGAGCCTGGCCTACAGGTGAGGGCGGCTCCGGAGCCCGACGGCCTCGACTCTCGGTGGCGGGACTGCGTGCTGGGGCCCTGGGCACCCCACGCGAGTCTGGTCCCCGGCTGCGCCGGGAAACTCCGGCCACAACCTGGGCTTCCCACTCTCCCAACCCTGAGTGTCCTCAGCCGCGACCCTGCCCACTGGCTTCCGACCGACCCGTACACTCCGCACCACGTCACCTCCTCCCAGAGCGCGGACCGCTTGCCCTCGGTAGGCCCCCACCAGGCCTGTCTCCCAGGTCGCGGCTCCTCTCCCCGCAGAGAAATGCCAGGCGTCCCTCGCGCTCCCAGGACCGTAGGCCCGCTTCACCGGGGCCATCCCACCCGATCAGATGTGGCCCTGACGCCCTTCCCCAGCAGCCCATTGACCCCTCTGTTCCTGCACTGGTACTCCCAGTGCCCGTAGTCGTTCCAGTCCTTAGCCACCGTCCACTGAAACTGAACCAGTCTCTCATCCGCTTTTCCCCAATTGCCGGGACCCCATTTCGCGATCTGCTAGGTCAAGGGTGGAGGGAGGAGGGTGCCGGAGCGTGCAGAGGCGCTAGCCTTAAAAGTTCCCGGGGAGGCCCGGCAGGGGGTGCTGTAGGCCGCAGGGGCTGGTGCGGGGGGAGGCCAGGGCTTGCAGACCCGGGTGGCCGCGGGCAGCAGAGCGCCTAAAGCAGTCTGGGATCCCTACTTAGCGCGGCACAGAACGCGCAGGCCGCACCCGGTTCCCTCTCCACACCCGTGTCCCAGAGGAGGGCGCGAACTGGGGTCCTGGCTCAGTGCCCTGGAGCAAAGTTCTCTGCAGCCGAGGGGCCAGGATAAATTATCAACCGAAAACAGGAGAGGAGAAAGGGGGATCGGCGGCCTTGATCTCTTCTCTGTGCAAATATTCCTCTTCCTCCGCGGCGCCTCCTCCCCTTGAGAGAAGCCCTGGCTACAGACCGGTACCTGCCGCCCCACAGGGAGCTGGAGCTGGGGTGCGGATTGCCAAGGAGTTTTGCCTACCCGGTGGCCACCGAGCCGCGCGACCCCATTGGCTGGAGGCAAAGTAACCTTGGCCCACAAGTTCTGGCCTCGGGCCCAGGTCATGTTGCAACCTGATCATCCAGGGCGCTAGACCGATGTGGAAAGTTCAAATTCCCGTCCCTTTCTGCCCTCCCCCATTTGGACATCACGAGACGGCCCGGGACAAAACATCTGAGGTCCTAGGACACTGGATGTGCCCCCTTCTTCCCACGCTCCCCTAAAGGTCTTCATTTCCCACCCATTTTACACCCCTTACACCACAACAGCTCCACATGAGCTGGGTAACCTCCGCCCCTCAGCCCAGACTATGGGTGGGCGAAAGGGAAGGTTGGTAAGATGAGGGACAGAGAATACCCCCAAATTGCCCCCTAAGAGGCGGGCTGGAGGCTGATATAACCCCAGTTGGGGGCGGCTGAGGTGAAGAGAGCTGCTGGATTTTCCCCACCAAATGCACAGAATGTTAAATCTCCCTATCCTGTCCTGGGTGCCAGCCTGAGCACCGAGGATGGGGGTGGGTCAGCCGAGGAGACTTCCGGTTTCCCCATTTGGTATAGGAAAAAACTGGGATTCAGACTGGGACAGTGTTTGACCTGCAGTTACAGAGATCTCCTGGAGGAGCCAGAATTGCAGAAGCAGTGTCCCAGGGAAGCAGCTGGATGGAAAGGGACCAGCCAGGCAGGCAGGGGCTCCAGAAAGTGGTGGGAGAAACAGGCCAACTTGAGAAGAACAGCCTGCTGCCTTTCACCCTCCTCAGGGCAGTGTGGGCAGGGAGAGGACTTTTCTAGTAGCCTGTGTTCCCTGGTTTCGTGGGTGGAAGCCCCAGGGAGGCAAGTTGTGGAGACTCCAAGAAAGCACTTGTTCATCGTCAGAGCAGGGTAGCTAGGGAAAGAGTGGCCTCCGGAGGGTGGGGCAGCAAAAAGGACCCCTGTTAGGGCTACTTTCAAGGGAATTCCTCCATGTCGGGGGTGGGGTGCTGAACCAAGTTCTAAGGCTCTCCCCATCCCATCCCTGAGATTCTGAGCTTCCCATTGGTCACAAGAAGCTCTTGAACCTTATCCCAGGGCTTTTGCACCAGGCTGGGTCCCACCCCTCACATCCAACCAACCAAATGCTTTCCTCCCAGGCTTAGATGTTGCTTGGGCCACACACCTCAGCAGGGAGATGGTGGAGGGCAGGCACTGGGTGATCACGCGGGGCTGGGAGGTTGCTGGGATACGGGCAGGGGTAACAAACTCAGGAGTTCCCCCACCTGGGTGGACAAAACAAGCTGGCCCAGGAGGGGGCAGAGTCCCCCCACCCCCAGCCATGTCTTCTTACTGGACAGATGGTGTTTATCCAACTGCAGGACAGAGGGGGCCAGCCATCAGGCTAGGGCACTGGCTATATACTTTATTTGGGTAATGAGGCCTGTTGTACTCTGGGGTGACAGTCTCCTCCCCCCAGCAGCCATCATTACCCCAAAGCAAACACAGGAGCTTGGAGACCAGAGAGGAGAGGAGACCCAATGATCCATGCACCCAAGGTGCCATAGAGAGAAGAGCTGAGGGGTCAGACTGCCACCTGTCACCCCCAGGAGGATGGAGGGGCCCCTGGAAAGAGCTGCCTGGCCTTCTGCAAGGCTCGGGGTCTCCCCATCTGAGCGAGGGTTGCAGAAGGTGAGCCAGAGGGACTTGTATGCAAACCTGGCTTGTAGACCCCACAGGGTCTAGTGTCCCAGAGCATCTTGACCTCCTGGGTCAGCTTGCTGGTGGTGATAGACTTGGCCTGTGTCCAGCAGGACCCTGAGTCAAACCATCATCTGCATAGAGCCCTTCGCCCTGCAGACTTAATGGACCACTAACTGGTGTTAGGCTCAGAGTTAAAATGCCCTGTCTTCTATACCTTCCTGTGGGCCCTTGTGGCCCTAAGAAGGGCACACCATCCAGCTCAGTACACACTACCAACCCGGGGCTGGAGATGGGCACCTAAAGGGCAGTGTGAAGGGCTCCTGGCTGCTCTGAGGCTACCCCTTGGGAAGAGTCTTCCTCGCCATCCTGGCACACTGTCCTCATGCCCTTGGCCTCTCCTGGTCCAAAGGGGCCAGTGAGACCAAGAAAGTCTTTCCTTTCCTGTCCCTCGGGGTCATCTCTTACTCTTATTAAATAAGAAATGGGCACCATGGTGCACGCCTGTAATCCCAGCAGCTTGGGAGGCTGAGGCAGGAGGATCACAAGTTCAAAGCCAGCCTCAGCAACTTAGTGAGACCCTGTCTCTAAATTAATAATAAAAAGGGCTGAGGCTGTGGCTCAGTGGTTAAGAGTCCCTGGGTTCAAATCCCAGTACCAAAAAAAAAAAAAAAAAAAAAAGAAAGAAAAGAAAACACAAATGTGGCAGGCATCAAGGCATCATGACTCATGCCTGTAGTCCCAAGTACTCAGGAGGCTGAGGCAGGAGGATCTTAAGTTTGAGGCCAACCTCTGAAACTTAGAGAGATCCTGTCTGAAAATAAAAAATAAAAAGGGCTGGGAATGTTCAGTGGTAAAGCACTTGCCTAGAATGTGCAAAGCCCTGGGCTCAATTCCTGCAAAAAAAAGAAAAGAAGGAAGAGGAAAAGAATTGGGCGACCCTCCCCAGCTGGTCCACAAGACAGATGCCTGTGAGGCCACCCAGGAGGATGCAGTTGTTCTTATCACCATGCTGATAAGCAAGGGTCAGCCTGGATGACAGGCTGGTGTCTGCGGGGAACACGGCATAGAGCCCAGTCTTTAAGGTCTGACTCGAGGAGTTTCCAGCAGGTTGGATGCAGGGCTGGGAGAGCCAGCCACACATGCCTAGTGCATGGGAAGAGGGTGGAGCCAGTTCCTGCAGGAGTCCCCCACCTTTTCCATCCCCACCCCACCCTGACCCATCCTCTCCCCCCGACAGCGGCAAGCTGGTGTCTCCCAAGTGGAAGAACTTCAAAGGCCTCAAGTTGCTCTGCCGAGACAAGATCCGCCTCAACAACGCCATCTGGAGAGCCTGGTATATCCAGTGTGAGTGGGCACCGTGGAGTGGCCTGTCCGCAGCCAGAGGGCTCTACAGGGAAAGCCCCCGGGGGCCCTCAGAGCCAGCTCTGGCAGAGCGCTGTGGCGTTTTGGGGAGCTCCCCCTGACTGGGATGTCTGAACTTCTGACTCCCAGAGGGTGCTGGGGAATGTGTCCCAGAGGGTGCTGACCACTGTGAAACCAAAGGGCACCCCTTGGAAGCACTAAGGTAGGCTAAGATTATGGGCCAAGTTCAAGGCCCATTCTGGATCCCACTAGTAGAGTCAGGTGCCTTGAATGCCAGGCTAAAGAAGGGTATTAAACATCCTCTCCGCCAACTGCATCACTTTATGAATGGGGAAACGGAGGAAGGTCTTGCAGGGGTCTCCACCAGCTTTATTGAAGTCCTTACTGAATACCCAGCAGGTATTTGGTAGATGGGATCCAGAAGCCATATAGGGTGGTGGAAGTGACCCTGGCCTTAGAGTTCTCACCCTGTCTCTGCCCCTTGCTGGTTGTGTAACTTCGGGCAAGAGGCTTAACCTCTCTGAACCTGTTTATCTATAAAATAAGAGCACCAACCCTACCTTTCATGGTCGATGTGGAGACAATAGATATGAAGGTGCCTGGAATTAAGTTATATACCTGAAGAGGTCATGTTTATCCATTTAGGGACAGTCCCCTGTGCAGCAGGGCAGCATAGGCTGAGGATGGGATCAGTCAGCTGAGTATCAGGACGTTGTCCAGTTCAGTTAGGTCCTGCTGCAAGATCAAAGGCAGCTCTGAGCTGGGAACACACAGCCCAGGAGGGACACACACGGTCTTCTGTGCTGGCTCTGTGGATCCCCTCCAAGCAGAGGGAGTGTCATTTTCTGGCTTTCCTTCATCTCTGTGCCAGGCACCATCATAGAACCTCTTAGTCAGGGCTTTCCAGCAACTCTGAGTGAGGGGTATGATGGTGCCCATTCTGTCGATGAGCCACTGAGGCTCAGAAAGGCAGAGACATGTTCAGGTTCACGGAGCTTAAAGACAGCTGGCAGCCGCGCAGCACCCCGCCCCCCACTCCCACTGCTGGCTTCCAGTGCTCTCTGAGCACATGCAGGTCGCCCACCACAGGGGGCAGCTGGGCTGTGCAGGAAAGCAGGAGATCCAGGCCTTTTGGATGCTTTCTCTGGGTCTCTACCATTTCTGAGAACTTGCATGACAGGTCCCGGCCAAAATGACCAAACCAGGAAGCTGATAAGCCAAGGGGAGTCAGTGTCTCCCCACCCAAGGTCCCCCTTACTCCCAAAGCTGAATGGGGCATAAACCATTTACTCTGCAGAAGTTTCTGATGACCGCTGAGTCATGATGCCCCCATCCCTGGGGTCCTCACCCAGACGATCCTGATCTCCAGCTATGGTACAAGTTGCCAGAGGGACCCCAGGTTCTGAATGGCACAGAGCTGGATTTGAACCGAGTCCCAGCAGGTCCTGACTATGTGTGTGGCCACAGGGAAATCGCCAGCCTTCCAGATCCAAAACTTGCTCATCTGAAAAATGGGTGTAATGACAGGTCCCAAGCACCAGTTTACTGTGTGATTTCAGTGAGGCCGTCTGTACCTCCGCAGGGAGCCTGTACTCAGAGGGACTCCCTGGATATGAGTAGCTGGGTTTGATCATTATTATTGGATCATGGTGGCAGCATGTGTCAGGAACCCCCTCTTCCTCCAAAACCAAAGGTTTGAAGGTGGGCTGCAGACAGGTAGAGAGCTGCCTGGCTCACCCGGCCCAGTGTCTCGCCTTAGTCCCCAGTAGGGGAGGCCCTGCTGCCCCTCAGCAGCCTCCTGACCTCCGGGGTCCCTCCTTTCTGCCCCGCCACTCGCTCTCCCATGCTTGAAGAGCGTCTTGGTTTCCTCCGAGCTCCCAGGGCACTTTGCACCTCTCCTGGGCAGGCGAGAAGGACTTTCCACTTGCACTATCTGTGCTGTGTTTGTTTACTTCCTTATCTCTCCATGGAGCTGAGAGCGCCCTGATTCAACCATGTATCCCTGTCCCAGCATCTGTCCCAGCAAAGGTGCAAAGGAACAAACTTACCAAACAAAGCCTTCCCCAGCCCCAGGAAGCCACACTGTCACAGCCCTTCTGTCCAGAGCACAGGGTCTCCGGGCTAGGCAGGAGAGGCCACTCAACCTTGATTCTCTGGGGGCCCTGGACATACATAACCTTTCCTGGTGGTCATGTTCTCATTTGGGACAGACACTCTTCAAAGCCTTCCTTGCTCTAAGCCCCTGGGAGTCTATGCACCCAAGGTCCCTTGTTTCCTGTCCAAGCCAGGCTCAGGAGCCAGGACCAAGCCCTTCCTCCAGTCCAATGAGCGTCCACTATGCAGAATATCCTTGAGGGCAGGACTTTGTAAATGGTGCCAAAAGTCCTAATGAATGTCACACTCCAGCGGTCCCCAACTTCCATGTCCATGTTTGTCCCAGAGAAAATTGGCTGAGGCAAGATAGGTCCTCATGAACTGGCCCCTCTTGAGGAGTTGGTGATCGTCGTCTTTGCAAGGGTCACCTTTGCTTTGTTTGGTTTGTTTTATTTTGGTAGTGCTGGGGTGGACCCAAGGCATGCTAGGCCAGAGCTCTACCACTGAGCTACGTCCCAGCCCGATTCCCTCTAACAAAGGCTTGCTGGGTGCCACCCTGTCCCAGGGGAGGCAAACCTGCACAGGGTTGACAGGCAGGGTGGAGCACGGGAAGACATGGCCATGGGGGCTTGGGGAAGGAGGGGCTGCCCCGATGGGTGGGCAGAGGAGGAATGGGCATTCCTGGTAGACCGTAGGCTGTGCACCTCCGAGGTGGGGCTTATGAAGGAGATGGGAAGGGAGAGAAGCAGGTGGGCCCCAGAGTCGAGGAAGTCCAGTTGAGACCAGGGCATGACTGAGAGAGAGGAGAGGGAGGGGAGGGAGGGTGGAAGAAATGTCACAGGTCCTGTGGAACTGATGTGGTCTGTCCACGCATTAGACTGGAATGCTGGGTGTTGGTGGAGAACTTTTGTGGCAAGTTTTGGGACATCCTTATTGAGGGTCCCTAGGCAGCTGGGATATGGAGTTGGAGCTGGAAGGGGGCAATGAGAGAGGCTGGGGTGGCACCGCAGAGGAGACAGTGCCCAGAGGTGAGGGGGCAGGAGAGCAGAGGGGGGCTCCTGGAGGAGGTGGGCGGTGCATACTGAGGTCTGGGGGGACGGATCCAGTGGTGTGGGGCAGATGCTGAGTTTCAGGAGGTGGAGATGAGAGTGAGGTGTGGAAGTGGAAGCAAAGGGGTGCAAAGACACAGAGAATTAGCTGGGAGCTGGGCACAGTGGCACATGCCTGTAATCCCAGCAGCTTGGGAGGCTGAGGCAGGAGGATCAAGAATTCAAGACCAGCCTCAGCAACTTAGTGAGGCCCTAAGCAACTCAGAGAGACCCGGTCTCTAAACAAAATATTTTTAAAGGGCTGGGGACATGGCTCAGTGGTTAAGTGCCCCTGGGTTCAACCCCTAGGACCAAAAAATAGGAAGGGGCTGGAATGTGCTTCTGAGCCAGAAGGAAAGGACCTAGGAGAGGTCAGGATTGGAGACAGAGAGGTGTGGAGGTTGCTGGACAAGGGCTCAGGGAGGTGGCAGGGAGAAAGTGGGCCAGGGCTGGTTTTCTGAGGTGGGAGTGTGCATACCAAGGAGCCAGAGACAGGGGACCCTGCCTGTGACTTGTGGCCTCACAATCTATTCAGCAAACCTTGCCTGTGCCCCTATCAAGCTCCCAAAGAGGGCAAAGAAGATCCCAGAGGGCCAGGGCAAGCAGGAAGGCTTCCTGGAGGCAGTGCTTAATCCAGTCTCAAAGTCCAGGCAGGATTTCATAGGGTGTCACTTGAGGCCCAGTTTCTCCTGCCCTCCATCCCCGTGGGGGGGATGAGGGAGCTTAGTGCCCCTCACCTGGCCCCCTTCTCTCAGATGTGGAGCGGAGGAAGAGCCCCGTCTGTGGCTTCGTGACACCCCTGCAGGGGCCAGAGGCTGACGAACACCGGAAACCCGAGGTAGCTGAGGCTGATGGCCGCCACCCACCTACCCACCTACCCAATCTCTTGTTCCAAATTTTTTTTTAAAAGCCCTCCCCCCTTCCTCGAGCTCGGTGGGAACGGCTGGCCGGGCGGGCAGGGTTTGGATGAGAGTTGGGAACTTGGCGGCAGGGTGCCGATGTCACGATGTCACCCTTCCCACTGAGCCCTGTCCCCTGACCCTCCCCAGGCTGTCGTCCTGGAAGGGAATTACTGGAAGCGGCGCATCGAGGTGGTGATGCGCGAGTACCACAAGTGGCGCATCTACTACAAGAAGCGGGTCAGTGAGGGACCCAGGGATGGCCCCAGGACTTTCTCCTGTGGTTGCTGGCCACAGACTCTTGGATAGCCCTGGAGGGGCTCCCCGACCCCTGCTCCCTTCATTCAGACCCAGGCTGACATCGCCACCGTGTGGCCACATGGTCTCCTCGCAGACTGCCTACTCTGGGTGGCTGCAGCCTGGGGAGCCCTGGGAGAAACATTGGGATCCCATTGATGGGGTTGGGGACGGGGGAACTAAGGGGAGGAGGCAAGGGATCCAGCGTCCATCTCTGTGTCCCTGCAGCTCCGAAAGTCCAGCAGAGAAGGGGATCTCTTGGCCCCCAAGCAGGTAGGTGCTTGGGAGTCCAGTGGGGACTGGGATCTGCCTGCTTCCACCCAGCTAGCCAGGGCAGCGTCTGGGGGTGAGGGTGGGTTGTGAGGGGGGTGCAAGTGGTTCAGGCCGGGAAAAACAGAGATCGCAGGAAGAGACCCTTATCTTTTCTGATAAGGGTGTTGGCCATCCTGGTCTGATTCCTGGAGGAAGTTGTTGGAGAGTGATGAGTTGACCTTGGCCTTCCAGGAGGCAAACCTGGTGGTGCCCAGGGAAGGTGAAGTGGTGTGTCTCAGAGAGGCCCTCGGCTGGGGGCCACTTCATCCCCAAGCAAGGGGTGACTTGCTTGGCTGGTCAGTGACCGCTCCATCTCGCTAGGTGGAAGGTGGGTGGCCGCCGCCAGAGCGATGGTGCGAGCAGCTCTTCTCCAGCGTGGTGCCCGTGCTGCTGGGGGGCCCCGAGGAGGAGACTGGTGGGCGGCAGCTGCTGGACCTGGACTGCTTTTTGTCCGACATCTCCGATACACTCTTCACCATGACACAGCCCAGCCCCTCGCCCCTGCAGCTGCCCCCCGAGGACGGTGAGGGCCTGCATCCAGGCAGGAGGCAGGGGAGGGCGGCAGGATGGCCAGAGGAAGGGGTGCAGGCGCTGAGTGCCTGTGTCCAGGCAGGAGGCAGGGGAGGGTGGCAGGATGGCCAGGGGAAGGGGTGCAGGCGCTCCTGCCCCTCCGCCACTCCTGATGTCTCTCTGCCCCTCCAGCCTACGTCGGCAATGCTGACATGATCCAGCCAGACCTGACGCCTCTGCAGCCCAGCCTGGATGACTTCATGGAGATCTCAGGTGGGGAAGACCCCTCCCCCAGGTGAGGCAGATGGGCAGGGTCAGTGAAGGAAAGTCTCAGGGTGACCCTGAGACCCCAGGCCAGTGCAAGGCCCCTCTGGGAGGGCAGATGGTCTGGGTCATTTCTGAAGCATCTTTCTGACCCTCCTTTGTCCAGCTTTAGGATACAGCCAGTGTGGCCTATCATTAGCTCAAGGCCAGATGAAATTCGGGACCAGGAGAGCAGGGACTTTGAAGCTGCAGGCTCCAGGGGCTCCCAGGAAAGCAGAGCATGCCAGACTTTCTCGGAGGGGAAAGGGACCTTGATTTGTTTGGGTCTGTTTATTATTTACATAATGCTTTTAAAAAGTATTTATTAAAGAACATGTCAAACATACACAAGTAGAGAGAGAGTCGGTCAACAAACCCCACATAGCCTCCATCCCGACCTGCCAGCTCTCGGCCACTGTTTCACCTGGCCACTCTCCCCCTCCTTCTCCTGTAGTATTTTTAGGAAAATTCCAACCATCAGACCTTGCAAAGCATTTTGGAAAGTAGTTTCCCTGCTTCCTCTCCTGACCCAGGGCCATGGAGTCATCATGTCTTAGCATCCTTTTTTAAAAAATTTGGTACAGAAGATTGAACTCAAGAACTGACCTACTTGCCCAGTAGTTTTTGACAGGATCTTGCTAAGTTTCTTAGGGCCTTGCTAAATTGCTGAGGCTGTCCTCAAACCTGCAATCCTCCCACCACAGTCTCCTGCATGGGATTATAGGTGTGTGCCACTGCACCTGGCCCTGGTGTCCTTCCAGAGATAGAGATATGTCCGTATAAGCCAATGTGGACAATATCTGGTTCTGTTTTCACAGCAGATTCTTCCTCACATTGTTTTTTTCACTGAGCTATAGATCTTGCAGACTGCTCCCTATATGCATGCATTTAGGAGCCCCCAAAGCCATTTTGGGGGCTAGACAAACATCAAAGCTCAGGCTGTCTCACTCAAGGCCAGGGGAAAGAGGGAGGGTCCCTGGGATAGAGGCTTAATTTCAGTGACCCCCCCAACTCCTTCCCCACAGGGTCGTGGGCCTGTCACTCAAGAGGAGGAGGCCTATGGGGCGGGGATTAGGGAATGAGGAACCACCCCTACCCCTGCCCCAGCCCTGGGCTGGGTGGGGGCTGCCGGGGGCAGAAGTGGATGGAAGTGCCCTGGGAGCAGACCAGCCTGGGAGGGCAGCAGCCCTGCCTGGGTACCCAAGCACCCACCACAGGTAGGAGCCCAGCTGGGTCCCTCGAGGCTCCCGGTGAGACCCAGACAGACTGGGGCTGGGCACCGGCTTCTCAGTCCAAGGTAGCAGCTGGGTGGGGGCAATTGTGGGTCATGCTGAGCAGGGCTAGTGTGGCCCTCTCAAGTCTCTGCACCCGGAGGGCAGGGAGCATGGGGGCTCTAGGGCTCATACTCCAGTTGTCCCCAGGAGCCCCTTCCTGGAAGGCTGGACTAGAACCCAGGGAGGGTACAGAACTCCATGGAGACTGGAGGCTAGGTGAGGGCAGGGCACAGGAGGTAGCTAGAGGACGGGGCTCCAGGAAAGGAGGGCAGGCCAGGGAGGGGAGCAGAGGTGAGGGAGGGATGGGCTCCATGAGAGGTCAAGGCTGGGAAGTGGCTTCTCTCAAGCCAGGGTGGGAACAGGCATGGGAAGCCTCGGGTAAGAGGGAGACTGTGCCTCAGGAATGCACGGGGCTTGCCACCCCATGCCCGAGCCTCTGTGGGCGCAGTGGGCGGGAGGCTCTGTGTGAGCTGGTTCTAAAGCCCTGGGCCTCAAGTGGCCTAGTGATGAGGCCCATGGTCCCTGGGGAGCCGGGGTGGAGGATCAGTGACCACCACCTGGTCCATCCAGTTTCTCCGTGAAAGGGGGCATCGTGAGGAAGCTGCCTTCTAACCAGATGCTGAGAAGACAGATGTGGGCAGAGAGTAGGTAACACTGCTGAGCCTGCTGCCTCAGGGCAGGTCCACAGGGACTCAGGGCTCAGACGTGGCCACAGACTGATGCTGACCCCTAGGTTCTATGCCTTCTGGCAAAGCAGAATCACCTAAGACAGACAGACAGACAGACAGACAGACAGACACACACACACACACACACACGACTCCTGTAGGTTCTGCATCTGATCTCCTGAGAGGGGGCTCCTGGGAAAGAGGCCCGACCAGCTCCCTTAGCCAGGGACCCTGAAGGGAAAGAGTGGACAGGGTCCATCCCAGGCCTATAGGAAGCTGCCACGGCGGGGTCAGGTCTGGCAGCCCAAGAAGCCCTGAGAGCTGGTACAGACCGCAGGCCAGTCAGGGTCAGAGAAAGGTGCCCGGAAGGGAGCGGGTGGGCGGGTGGCGCCCAGGCCCGGGATGTGGTCAGGCCACAGGCAGCTGCTTCCCAAAACCAGAATAGCCCAGGACTTACACAACCCGCGCCCCAAACAATCCGGCTGCCCGCCTCCCCAGCCCTTCCAGGCTTCTCAGCGCCCCCTGCTCCTCAGCCCAGGCTGAGACCACACTTTGGGCCCTGTCACCCCGTCACACCCTGCCTCCTCCTCCTGGGCTCTGCTCTTGCAGCCCTACCTGTTGGCTTTCCAAGAAACCTGACCTTCCCTGACCCACTGACCTCCTGACCAGCTCACCCCTAACTCCTGCCACCCGGGAGCTCCTCCCGGCACCCCACCCTTTGCCCTTTTGGCCCTTGTCTATGCCACCCTTTCCAGACCTCCAGCAGAGTTTGTAAGGGGAGCAGGCAAGGGGATGGGGTGGGGAAGGGGCTCTTCTGGGACTAGTGGGGGCTCTCTGGGGGACCCTGGGTCCCTGCTCACTCACTCCCCGACCCCTGCTCTATCCACTGGGGCCCTGTCCCGCCCCAGCCTCTGTCTGCTTCCCCAAGCGAGACAGAAACTCCTGGTTTCACAAACTCCTGTGGAAGCCCCTCTCCCCCTCCAGCGCCCACCCCACCTTGGCCAGCCTGAGCCCTAACCCTGCCACCCTGTGTGTCCAAATTGCAGATTTCTTCACAAACTACAGACCCCCACAGATACCCACATCTTCAAACTTCCCAGAGCCCCCCGGCTTCAGCCCCGTGGCTGACTCTCTCTTCAGCAGCGGGATCCTCGTCCCGGAGCCACCCCCAGCCCCCTCCATCATGACCCACCTCCCGGGACACAACCGCCTGCAGGTGAGCTCCCCCCACCCCACCGACCATGCCCAGCTCACCTGAGAGCTGGCTCTGGCTGTGGCCCTGCCCATGTCCAGGCTGTCTACAGGAACTTCCTGAAATCCAGGTCTTGAGCTGGCCAATCCAGAGAGACTCTGGGAGGGCCATGTAGCAGCAAAACTGGACTGGTGTAGGTGGGGGAAGGCCCAGGGCATGAGAACCACAGAGCTGGGCACCACCTGGGGCTGGGTTGCTCTGGAGAGCTTTCTGGAAGAGAGCAGGGAGTTCTGAGTCTTTGTGAGCCTCAGGTGTGAACAGAGGAGACAGAGAGGGCAAGCCAGGTGGGAGGAACAGCGGGAACCAAAGCACGGAGGCAGGAAGTTCACAGATATGTAGGAAACAGTGAGTCTACCTCTTGGTTCAGAGGTCACGCTCCTGTTTCTGTGTGAGAAGGCTTTTCCCTCCAATCTCAGACTTTGAGGCACTCTCCTAGTTGGTCACTGAGGGGTCTGTCTCCTCTGCCAGGAGCTCCCTCCTGGAAGGGCTAGTTTTTGCTCACCTCTGCATCATGGTACCTCGCACAGCCCAGGCACAGGGCACCACTCAGTAAATATTTGTCCAATGAGTGAACAAGAGAGAGAATGAGTGTGTGAATGGATGGGTGTACTGGTGAGTGGACAACTGCATTGTCAATGATGGCGCATGGGTAGGTGAGAACAGGTAGATAAGCGGTTGGTTGGATGGGTGGGCTGGTGGGTGGGTTCATAGACACCACAGATTGATAAATGGGCTGGTGAGTGAATAAATGGCTGGTGAAAATGCAAATGGCGAGTGGATGGTTGGGTGGATTACAGATGGGCTGGTGGGTGGGTGAAGGAAATATGGGTGGCTCAGGTATTAGCCATGACTCCATCCCTAGGAAGCTGCTTTGTGATAGGGAGATGAAGTAGCTCAGAGATGACAGAAGAAATAGGTGGAGGTTGGATGGATGGATGGATTGGTGGATGAGCAAGTGGATGGATGGACAAACAATGGATTAGTGGGTTGGTTACCAGATGGGTTGGTGGTTAAGTTAGTAGATGAATGGATAAACTATTTGGCAGATGCATGGGTGGGCAGGGAGACTGATGATTTTGCCTAATTTGTGCATAAATGTAGTCTACTCCTTTTTCCCATTAGATTATAATTTCTGTGTGTGGGGTGGGGTTTGTTTTTAAAGGCAGGGATCATTTCTCCCCTGTGGCCCTGGCCACAGCTCAACCAGAGCAGGAGGCTGCTTGGGTTGGCTGCAGGGAGCCCTGTCCCCTGCTCTTAGTGTCTGTCTGTCTCCCCAACTAGGCTCGGAACAGCTGCCCTGGCTCCTTGGACCCCAGTGCCTTCCTGAGCTCTGACTTCCTCCATCCTGAAGACCCCAAGCCCAAGCTCCCGCCCCCTCCTGCCCCACCACCTCTCCTCCAGTACCCTCCCCCTGCCAAGGTGCCAGGCCTGGAGCCCTGCGCCCCTCCCTCCTTCCCGCCCCTGGCTCCGCCCCCTGCCTTGCTGCAGGAGGAGCCCCTCTTCTCTGCTAGGTTTCCCTTCACTGCAGTCCCCCCTGCCCCAGGAGCATCCCTACTGCCGGCTCCCACAGCCTTCCCACCCGTGCAGCCTGCCCCAGGCCCTGCCCCTGCGGCCTTCCCCTTAGACAATCTGCCCTCGGGGTACCCAGAGCCAGCCTTGGGCCCTCACTTCGCAGTGCCTCAGGGTGTGCAGCCCGGAGGCAAGCCCCTCACCCCATCCTCCAGGGGACGGAAGGCCTGTGGCCCCACCTTGGCCCCTGCCACTGCCAGAAGCAACAACCCCTGCCTCACGCAGCTGCTCAGGAGAGGTGAGATGGAGGGGCAGGGCCTGGAGGGAGGGGGTGGGGATGAGGGGGCGACCTTGGGGTGGGGGCTGGGAGAGCCCAGGGCGAGTTCCTTCAAGGTGGGCTGTACGTGAAGCGGGTGGGCTTGCAGGAGGGGGGTCTTGAGCCACCGTGGGCTTGGGCCAGCCCCAGCAGCCCTCACGGTCCTGCCTGTGCACAGCCAAGCCTGAGCAAGCCCTGGAACCACCGCTGGTACCCAGCGCCCTCCTGCGGGCCCCAGGGTCTCCGGTAAGATGGCGGGCACTGGGAGGTGCGGGGAGCCCAGAGACTCTACGCCACTCTCTGCCCTTTTCCACCCAGCAGGAGACCATCTCCGAGTTCCCCTGTGCCTTCTTTCCTCCAAACCCGGTCCCTACACCACCCCGGCCACCTCCAGCCCCGACCACATTGGCCCCTCCCAGGCCCCTGATTGTCCCCAAAGCAGAGCGGCTGTCACCTCCAGCACCTGGTGGTAAAGAGGGTTGCAGGAATTGGGGAATACAGGGGGTGGAGGGAGAAGAAGGATAAAGGAGAACTGTGTCTGGGGTCAGGATGAGAGGAACAAGGCAACGGGACCCTCTCCCCTGTGTGTTGGTCTGTTTGTGGGTCTGTCTCTGACACAGGCAGCGAACGGCAGAGGTCAGGGGAGCTCAACTCCATACCAGCCCCAGGGGCGCTGAGTGTCAGCGTCTCCCCCCCTCAGCCCATCTTCTGCCGGGGCCGTCCTGACAATAACAAGGTGGGCACCATCCCTGGCCCGAGATTGGTTTGCTACCCCATCCCCTCCCAGACTCCTTCCTAGGCTCACCCCATTGTCTGCTCCCCAAGACTGAGAACCGGCGCATCACGCACATATCTGCCGAGCAGAAGCGTCGCTTCAATATCAAGTTGGGGTTCGACACCCTGCACGGGCTCGTGGGCACACTGAGTGCCCAGCCTAGTCTCAAGGTGAGCCCCAGCCACAGGGCCTCTTCCTGGGCGGCTCCCCCAGCAAGACCAGATCCCAGGTCCTCCAGACACTCTGGTAGGACAGCCTCCAGCACGGAGGCCCACACTGGTGGCGCCCGCAGGTGAGCAAAGCAACCACACTGCAGAAGACCGCCGAGTACATCCTCATGCTGCAGCAGGAGAGGGCGGCCATGCTGGAGGAGGCCCAGCAGCTGCGGGACGAGATCGAGGAGCTCAACGCCGCCATCAGGTAGGCAGGGGCTGGGCGGGTGGCCGGGGTAAGGGGTACATGTGGCCACTGAACCCCCAGCCCCTCACCCGCTCCACGCCCCTAGCCTGTGCCAGCAGCAGCTGCCCGCCACCGGGGTGCCCATCACACACCAGCGCTTTGACCAGATGCGAGACATGTTCGACGACTATGTCCGGACCCGAACACTGCAGAACTGGAAGTTCTGGGTAGTATCCTCACTTAGACCAGCGGCCTGGAGGAGCAGGGACAGCTGCAACCGGAGGGCTACTTGGGCCCAGGGAAAGGGCTGTGGTTCTGCCCCCTGCTTTCAGGCCTTTGGCCAGCAGGATGGCCTGGAGGTGGAGCTAAAAGGGAGACTGAGGAAGGAGCCCTGGGCAAGAGCAGCCAAAGCCCCGCTTTCAGGAAGTGCTGGGGTGTCCTTAAGAACCCAAAGTGGGTGGTGTGACACCTGGAGAAGACATGGAAGCCACAGGGTCAAGGTCTTGACTGAGCCAGGGCAGGGAGCCCAGGGATAGGGGACAGTCCAGCATGAGCAAGGGCTGTGGAAGAGCCAGAGAGCTAGACCACCATTGGCAGGATGGGAGGAGGCACAGCAGGATTGGGGTCAAGGTTAGACAGTTCCGGGTTCTTCTTTCCCCTGGTTTGGGTCAGATGTCAAGGCTCCATGTGAGGTGGTGGGGGCATCATGTGGACCACAGGCCTGCTCCTTGACCCGGGCCCAGTTCAGCGTCCTCATCCGGCCTCTCTTCGAGTCCTTCAATGGAATGGTGTCCACGTCAAGTTTGCACAGCCTCCGCCAGACATCGCTGGCCTGGCTGGACCAGTATTGCTCCCTGCCTGCCCTCCGGCCAAGTGCGTGAGCCCCCATCTGCCCACCCACTGAAGTGTCAGGCCTCAGGGGAGGGGGTTCCACCCTGCTCAGGCCCCTGTCCAACCTGCCTTCAACATAGACTAGGGTTTGGGGCCCTTCCACCAGGCCCCCTGGATGATCTCCAGCTACCAGGGTAACTACAGGGAGGTGTCTCTGTCTCTCCTCAGCTGTCCTGAACTCCCTGCGCCAGCTGAGCGCCTCAACCAGCATTCTAACCGATCCCAGCCGTGTGCCCGAGCAAGCCACGCGGGCAGTCACAGAGGGTCCTGTCAGCAGACCACTATAGTCCTGGCAGATGACGCTGAGCTCCAGTGACAACTTGCTGGGCACTCTCCTCCTGTCCCAGGCTCTGACTGGCTCCTTCCCTGAGGGTTGAATGGGACCCATGTCTCCCGCCTCCTAGAGGCCAAGAAGAGGTGTGTCCCTGTCCCTGCTGTACCACTGATGTGATGCTGGGCCACTCGCAGCCCATCTCTGGATTTCTATTTCCATTCAGCAAAATGGGGATAGGTAAGGTTCAGCCACCAGATGACCCCAAGGCAGCTGTGACACTGGGGACCTAAGCTGCCAGCTCAGAGAAGGAGGAGGATAGCCCTCTTTCCCTGTCACTTCTGCCTGCTCCTCCACAGGGGCCACCAGCCTCAGTTCCTGAGCAGGGAGACAGATAGGAGGGTCTCACTCTGCTCCTGCTGCCGAGCTGCAGGAGGCTTCCCTTGGGTGAGGCCAGGGGGGCCTGGTGCCAGGAGAGACCAGGGCGGGGGTAGCCACAGCAGGACAGGCATCTTGTGTGAGTGTGGCTGTGTGCATGTGGGTTTTATAATTCTTGATCAATAAAAGAAGAAAATGCCTGCCTGTGGGATGGCGGCATGACTGTCAACATGTGTCACTCTGGGTGGTCACTTCTGCTGACAGTGGAAGGTCCCTTTGTAGAGGGCCATTTGGATTGTGAAATGACCTTAGCTTTTACTTTGAGCTAGAAGCTGCTGGAAGGTTTTGGGTGGAGGTGAAACTTCTTTCCAGGAGCTCCTGGGTGCGGAGCTGACAACGGGAAGAGGCAGGGAAACCCACCCCCTGGAAGTCCTCCTCTGTAGACAGCAGAAGGCTCCATGGGCTCCGTGCCTTTGGAGTTGGAAGACAGCAGAGCCAGGACCAAGGAGTGGAAGTGACCTCCCTGCTGTGTGAGGGGACAAGCAGAGGGTGGACAGCTACTTGATTGGGATGCCCTAGAAGGAACTGGTACTTCAGGTGTGGAGTCGCAGGAAGAGGCTAAGGCCCCCATGCTTCTCCTTCCTTCATTCATAAAACAAGCATTGCCCCAAGGACTGTGGTGGGGCCAGGCCAGGGCGGTGACTCTGTGGATTCTGTTCATTGCTGTATCCCTCCTGCAGTTGGCATCCAAACCCGCAGGCTGGGATCCTTTTACATCTTCTAAGAACTTCTGGAGACATTTTCAGATATAAATAGCAGACAGAGCTTTCTGTGGCCTTTCCCTTTCCCTCATTCATTTGAAAAAGAACACTAATTTGGCCATGGTGGCCATACCTGTGATCCCAGGAGGCTGAGGCAGGAGGAGTGCAAATTCAAGGCCAGCCTGGGCAACTTAGTGAGATCCTCTGTAACTTGGAAAGACCTTGTCTCAAAATAAAATACAAAAAGAGCTGGGGATGTGGCTCCATGGTAAAGTACCCCTGGGTTCAATCCCAGTATCAAAAAGAACAAAAGCAATAATTGTTGAACATTTCTAGCATTTATTAAGTGCAGATCATTCTTTTAAGTGATTTGGGTATTAACTCATTTCATCCTTACTGGTGGGTTATGAGGATTTCCCAGTAAATCTAAGCTGGGTGTGGCCATGCATGCCTGGAACCTCCGCTGCACTGGAGGCCGAGGCAGGAGGACTGCTTGAGCCCAGGGGCTCCAGGGCAACCTGGGCAGTAGACTAGGACCCCATCTCTTAAAAAAATGAGTAAATATATACAAAGCATCTACAATGGTGCCTGGTATGTAACACTATGTAAGTTATAACAATATTATTATCTGCATTTTAGAGCTGGGAAACTGAGGCACAGAAAGGTTAAGCCACTTGCCCTAGGTGGAATGGTTTGTGAGCCACTCAATGCTGCTTCAGAGGTGGCTTCGGCCACTCTGCTATGGGGGTGGTGGGTGTGCCCAGCTTCTGGCGCTCTTTGCTGCTGCGTCCTTCCAGGACATTCTCCATAAGACATACCCTCGATCCTGCTCAAGATGGCTTCTTCCCTTGAAAGTGTGCTTACACTGGTTGGCTGTCTCCCCTCCTCTCCCACGTGCCCATCGGACCCTGCCCAATTTAGGCTCCCCCTCCTCCTAGAACCCCCCAGCTGGACTCCTGCCTCCACTCTGCTCCCACTGAGCTCATTTCTGACTGAGTCTCTGCTTGAAAAATCCAGGTGTGCTTCCGGCTTCCTCTGGGCCCTTGGCTTTCTTGAACCGTTCTCTCTCCAGATGGCTCTTTCTCCCTGACAGTGCCTTCTGGGTTTCTGCTGCCTCTTCCTCAGCCTGTCCTGCCCTGGCTCCCTTTTCCTCTTGCTCTGGGGCAAATGCTGGGCCTTGCTCAGGGGAAGCCCCTTCAGCCTCTCTGCTGAGGACCTCCTCCTCCATATCTATCTCTGCTTCTCCCTAGCGCTATATACAACAACCACATGGGCCGCCCTGACACCTCCTTCCAGATGTTCTCCAGCTCCCTTGAATTTGTGGTGACTTGAGCTGGTCCTCTCTGTTCTTGGGACAGGAGCCATCATCCAAACTTGTGTGGGCTTGAAGCAGATATCTTCAACCCTTTCCCACACCCCACTGCCCTGTGCTACCTCTTCCTGAGGCCTGGCCAGTTGACTAAGCCTTTTCCTTTCAGCCATCCCCTGGTCCACAAAACATCACCTTTCCATCTACTCTAGCATTTGCCTTCTGTGTCCCTGCCAGCTGCTTCTCAAACTTTCCTGTGCGATCGAATAACTTGGGGTGCTTCAAAAAAATCTTCATGCCCTGATCCAGCCTGAACAACTCAGATCAGAATCCCAGGTGTGATGCTTAGACACTGGCTTCCAACATTCAGCCAAGGTCAAGAACTCTAATAGAGGCTTTCAGCTGTGAATAACGTGTAGCTGGGGCTCAGATTAGTTCCAATCAGAGGTTTTGCTTTATTTTCTGGTACTGGGGATGGAAGCCAGGATCTCACACAAGCTAGGTAAGTGCTCTGCCGCCGAATTATATTCAGCAGAGGTTCTTAAACTTTACTGTGCAACAGAATCAACTAGGGAGTTTGTTAAAATACAGATTGCTGGGCCTCACCTTTAAGTTTCCCAGTAGCAGGTCAAGGATGGAGTTTAAGAATGTGCATGCCTAGTACTCCTGGACCACACTTTGAGAACCACTATCTATGTGGTTTTTTTTTTTTTTTTTAAATTTTGTTACATATGACAACAGAAAGCATTACAATTCATACTACACATATAGAGCACAATTTTTCATATCTCTGATTGTACATGAGAACCACTATTTAAATAATGAGGAATCTGATTACTTTGTCTAATACATGCTTGCCCCTGTGGAGGCCAGCCTTCTGAGCACATGTTCAAGGTGCAACTTCCCCCAGCCTCCTTTCTCCACAGTCTCCCTCCCTTCACATTACAAGGGGTTATGAGTCTTTTTGGGTCCTGGGCTGCAGCATCAAGCTTTGCCCTCACAAGGCATTATCCTCCCTCTGCTTCACCTCTCCATATGCTGACGCTTGAAGCTACAGCTTGACTGTACAGGTCAGCCAAGGCCCCCTGTCCTTGGCATGCTCTCCCTGATCCACCTAGCTCCCCCAAATCCTACTTTGTGTCCATGTCCTGCCTGACTTTGATCTTGGTTTCCAAATGGGCTACAGCACATGAGGGGTAGCACAAGGTTTCATGGGAGGAGTGTGGATCTTGGAGCACAGCAGAACTAGGTCTGACTCGGGATTCTCTCTCCCTGCTTCCTTGTTGACCTGGGGCAAGTTACTTGACCTGATCCTGTTATTTTTTTCCAGAGTCTGATTAAAACTAAATTATTTCATAACATCACCTATTTTTTTTGGGGGGGGGGTAGTACTGGGTATCAAACCCAAGGAGGGATTCATGCCTGCCAGACATGCACTCTAGCACTGAGCTACATCCACAGCTCTGACATCACCTGTCTTAAAAGCCACTGCTGTGAACGGATTTTGTAGCCTTGCCTGAGCTGTACAAAGAGGGCTGCTCTTGCTTTTCTTTGTCCCATATTCATTAATTGCAACAAGTCCCCAGGTTCTCTCCCTACTTGTGCCACCTTGGGAACATCACCCGACTTCATATAGTCTGTCTCCTAATCAGTGGAGACAACGTGGGATTAAAGAAACCCAAAACTGCTGGATCAATAAATGTCCCATGCAATATGCTTTTAAAAGTAAAAGCTTGGCCTCTAGATGGTGGCGAAAGATGGTGGTTCATGGCCATGCCTACACTTCTAAATAGCAAGTCAGGGAGGAAAAGCCCCAGGAGGCTCTGAACACCCGTCTCCTGGCACTCCCCACCCCACTGCCCACAACTGAGTCAATGTCAGTTCCCTGCAAAGGACAAAAGGGAAGGAAATGAAGCTGCTCCATTTGCCTTCTGACTGGATCTGTTTCCTCACCCGAGACTGCGAGACTGCGGCTGTGTCTGTCAGTCAGCCTGTGGTAACCTGTCTCCTTAGAGGGTCCTTATAAATTAAAGCTGCAGGGCTTGGACGGTGAAGAAAGGCAGCTCCCTGGTGGAGATGGAAATATTAGAAGCTGGAATACTGATCCTGGTACTTCGATTTGCTCTGGGCTGTGGGGCTGGGAGTCCAGGGAGTATGACCATACTGAGAATATCCCCTTTCCAGCCATGCAGGTCTAATCCAAATTCTCTCAATCTTTTTTGTCCTTTTTGGCAAAATCTGAAAAAAACCTCTGTAGATTATTGTATCAAGTTCCTGGTTGTGATCTTCTACTACAGTTTTGCGAAATGTTACTATTGGATGAAACTGAGTGGAAATGTCCTTGGGACCTCTTCATTTTTTCAACTACCTGTTGATTCTATAATAATAATAATAATTATTATTATATTCTATAATAATAATAATAATAATAATAATAATTATTATTATTATATTTTGATTAAGAAGCTTTCAGAGGCTGGGGGTGCTCAGTGCTTGTCTAGCATATGTGAGGCCCTGGGTTCAATCCCCAACACTGTAAAAAATAAAATCTGCTTTTCAACTTCCTTTCCCCTCCCCAGGCCACCCCCAGCCCAGGCTCTTTTCAACTCCTCATATTCTTGCAGCTACTTCCGGGTTTTTGTCTTTTTGTCTTTACACATCCAGAGAATCCAGACATGGATTTTGCCCCACTGCCTCCTGTGATCCGGCATGCTGGATGGAACTGGCAGTTGAGGCCTTGCAGACTTTTGGACCTTGTCTGCCATCTTTTTATCGTGTTCATGCCCTTCCTCTCTACAACATCCCTGTTCTTCAGGTCTTTGCTAGGATGCTCCCCGCTCCGATGCCAGGACTATCCTTCTGCCCCTTCAGTAACAGCAAGAGCCCATCTAACTTTCACCTGTTGCTAAGAAGACTCTCCCACGGGTCAAATGCGAATAAAGCCCCTGCTCTGCTTCCTTGAAAGGATCCAGTGTGGCAAGGTCAGAATAAGCCTTTAATAAACTGTTATCAGCAAGTTACTCAAGATAGGAATGACGAGGACCTGCAGATCTCACTACCTGCACCCTCAGCGTCTGCACGACCTCCGCAGCCTGACGACCGCGGATCACCAGGGTCCGCCCTCAGGACACGCCCACATCTGGCACCGCCTCGCAAGAAGCGCCCAAGGCCAGGCCCCGCCCTTCGATTGGGCGCACTAATGGATAGGCCACGCCCCTCGAGGTGCCCTCCAACCGCCTGGAGGAAGGGGCTCCAGGCCCTCCAACGGGCAGGCCCCGCCCCTCCGGGAACCGCCAACCGCCAGGCCCCTCCCCTTGAGGCGCGCTAACGGCCAAGTCCCGCCCCCGCGTGCGCGGAGACGTGCGGGCGCCAGCGTAGTCGGCGGCTGAGGTGGCAGCGTGCGGGCGATATGGAGCTCCCTCAGATGCCGGAGCTGATGGGGCTGTCCCTGTTGGTCGGACTGCTGGCCCTGATGGCCACGGCGGCGGTAGCGCGGGGGTGGCTGCGCGCCGAGGAGGAGAGGGGCGGCCGGCCGGTCCGTAAGTAGGGCCGGGGCGGGGAGGGGCCGCGCGCTGGGTGTCCGCTTGGGGCGGCCGGCGGCTTGGGCCGGCGCAGGCCGGGGATCCTAGGCCTCAGTTTCTCCCGTGGTGAAGTGAGCCTCCTCCCAGAGGCCGGGCGCCGCGTCGGCGGGCCGGCCGCACCCCAGGGCAGGGCTTGTTGGGACCAGGGCCCTGTACCGCGGCCCTCTGGCAGGACAAGGCCACGCTGCTTTGGTCGCCCGGGTCGCCAGGAGAGCTGCAAACTCCGGAGCGTGCTGTGCGTGGGGGGGGGGGGGGGGGGGGGACGGGGAACGGGCATTCGTTCTTAAGCATTCTCTATTAGTTTTGCGACCTACGGCAACGTGGATCGGGCTGGTAGACTTTGGGATCTTTTCCTTTAATGAGTCCAGTAAGGAATTGTATCCAGTCGGGCGCGCTGGCGCACTCCTGCAATCCCAGCGACTTGGGAGGCTGAAGCTGAAGGATCGCAAGTTCAAAGCTAGCCTCAGCAGTTTGGCGAGGCCCTAAGCAACTCAGCGAGGCCCTGTCTCAAAATTAAAAAAAAAAAAAAAAAAAAAGTGCATCTAAAAATGTACATCTAAAATGTAAATATGTAAATATAAATACCCTAAGAATGCACGCGAAAAAAAATTGTGTAATAAATGCCACAGAAGAGGTCAGTACTGGAAAACAGAAAAAAAAAAAAAAAAAAAAAAAAAGAGGGAGAATGGCCAGCCCTGCTTTTCTGGAGGGGGTGGTAGTCAATGAAATCTTTGCTGAGAGTAGGAAACCCAGGAGAGGGCTAGGGGTTCTTTTGTTATCTCTTGATGCTGGGATGGAGCCCAAGGCAAGCACTCTGCAACTGAGTTACAGCCCCAGCCAGTGGTGTGGGGTTCTGAAGGATAGTTGTGTAGGAAGAGTTTGCCAGGAGGCTAAGAATGGCAGGCATTCCTTCCAATGGCAAAACTCATAAAGGCAGCGAATTCCAAAACAGCATTTGTTGTGCTCAAAGGTCAGGTGGGGCTTATTAGACAAGGCTGGAAAGGTAAGCAGAGCCAGATTGTGACCATCTTTGTGTGCAAGGCTTAGGAGGTATGTTTCCTGTAGGAATGGGGGGACATCTGCCACCATCTAGCACATGCCAGCTTTGTGCCTAGCTTGATTCTCTAACATATTATGTAAAACTGACTGGCACCATTCCTGGCACAGGGTAGATAGATGCTTAAAACATGTTAATTTTTCTGAGTTCTTTCTGAGATTTCCTTGGGTCTTTAATGCATGTGTTGGGTGCTTTTGGCTTGTCATCCAGTTCTCCTAGTCTCTCTTTAAGCCCAGATCAGTTAAGTCACTTATCCAAGATTCAAGCCTCCAGATTTGGTTGTGCACATTATTTCCTGTATAGGAATATCTGGCCAAGAATCCACACTGCACTGGCTGTGCTATGAGCCCACTCAGCTATTTCAGCCCAGAGAGGGTGCCTTGGTGCCTTTTCTAATTTGCATTGAGGTGCTCTATGAACTAAAAGCAAGTAGCCTTCTCAAGGTCACTCAGTGGTAGACACAGAATCCACACCCAGGTCCAATTCCAAAGCCTTTGTTTTTGCCCGTTTCACTCATAATATTTCTCTCTTCTCGAGGATAAGAGCCATATCTGGTCCTCTCTTGCTGCTCTTCTCAGTGCCTAGTCAGTTGTAGGTAGTAAGTGCTTACAGATGAGTGAATGATGACTTGAGCCTTCTTAATAGGCCAGAAAGCAAATGGAACCAAGAAGTCAGGATCCAAGAAGCAGAAACAGAGTCAGCGGATTCGCAAGGAGAAGCCTCAACAACATAGCTTCACTCACCGTCTCCTGGCTGCAGCGCTGAAGGTACATGAGTACTCATGGGTACCCACACACGAAGACTCAGACCCTTGCAGACTTTTTCCTTTGTACTGATCAATGTGCATTGCAGGCCTCTCTGCCTCTGAAAAGTCATTGAGCATGTCTCATCTTAGCCTTTCTTATTCCAGCAATAGGGGTCCATAGTCATGGCTCCAGGTTAGGCTTCCTTGTTCCTCTGGGAGGCTCCCATTCACACTTACTCCAACCCGTCCCCTAGAGCCACAGCGGAAACATATCTTGCATGGACTTTAGCAGCAATGGCAAGTATCTGGCCACCTGTGCAGATGATCGCACAGTCCGCATCTGGAGCACCAAGGACTTCCTCCAGCGGGAGCACCGCAGCATGAGAGCCAACGTGGAGCTGGATCACGCCACCTTGGTGCGCTTCAGCCCTGACTGCAGGTGGGACAGGATGGGACCTCAGGTTTGCTTGTAGAAGCCTCACCCCGGGCTTATAGCTTTCCCGTATCTGGTGGGAGTAGTGAAAGGGACTCAAGGTCTCCGCGGGGTGGCAGAAAGAGAGCATCCAGATAGTTTGGGCACTGCCTGGGCTTCCTGGAGGGCTATGTTGTTACATAGCTTGGAAGCAGAGTAGGGGAAATAATTCCATCCAGCAAATGCCAAAACCTGGCTTCTAGTTGAGTCTTGGAAGCTCTCAGAGAAATTAAAGGAAGCCAAAGCTGTGAGATTCCTGTACTGGGGATTGAACTTGGGGTGCTCTTCCACTGAGCTATGTTCCCAACCCTTTTATTTATTTATTTTGACATTAGGTCTTGCAAAGTTGCCCAGGCTGGTCTTAAGCTTAAGACTTTCCTCCTTCAGCCTCCCAAGTAGCTGGAATTATAGGTTTTGCCACCATGGCCAGCTTTTGAATAGTTTTTGTCGTCGTCGTCTTTTTTTTTTTTTTGTACTGGCAATTAAGGGGCACTTACCACTGAATCACATTCCCAGCCTTTCTTTGTTTTATTTCAAGACAAAGTCTTACTAAGTCCATAGGCCTTGCTGAGTTGCTGAGGTTGGTCTCAGCCTCCCATGTTGCTGGGAATACTGGTGTTGTACCACCATGTCTGGCTTGAGATTTTGAAACGGGTTACAATATAAGGCTAGACTTACAAGGCACGAGGGGAGATCTTGAGTTTCCCCAGGGCCTGGAACACATAGGCTTCTGGGTCCAGATGAGGGAGAGACTTATGTGTTATCTATCTCTAGAGCCTTCATTGTTTGGCTGGCCAATGGGGACACTCTCCGTGTCTTCAAGATGACCAAGAGAGAAGATGGGGGATTTACCTTTACAGCCACCCCAGAGGACTTCCCTAAAAAGCACAAGGCACCTGTCATCAACATTGGCATTGCTGACACAGGTAAAAGGCGTTCAGAGGTGGAACTTGCCCAAGGCATGAAAAACTAAAATGTCCACAGTTACATTTGCTGAATGACTTAATGCTGCCTTGGGAGTTTTGTCAGTCTCAGTGTGACCAAGGAGCTCTGACTCCAAGCAGCCAGGTTCTGTGCTCCCCTTTAGTCCTGAGAGTCACAGCAAGGGGGCAGGGAAGAGCTGTATAGGTCTTACCTGTGGCCACCCTTGGCCTGGGAGGGGAACGTTGATGCTTTGGGCAGCAGAGGCTTTTAAAATGTCTCTTGGAGAATGACAGTTGGATCAGATCATTGACTTCAGCTCATGTCATTCCCCTCCCCCTCAGGAAAGTTCATCATGACAGCCTCCAGTGACACAACTGTCCTCATCTGGAATCTGAAAGGTCAGGTTCTGTCTACCATCAATACCAACCAGATGAACAATACCTATGCTGCTATATCCCCTTGTAGCAGGTGAGCCTGGGAAGGGCCAAGGCATCTGGGTGGGAGAGGTTGGGACAAGTCAGGCACAACACAGAGAGGTGGCTTTGTGGTGGGGGGAGAGCACACAGGGAGGAGTCGGAACTCTGGGTGCAAGTCTCAGCTCTCCCAATGTTGCCGTGGTATATGAGATTTCATGTAAGCCACCACTGTTCTTAATTTGTGTTTCTTCATCTCTTGAGTTTAAAGGGCAGAGTGAGGGCTCTACATATCTTAAAGCAAGCTGTGAGGATAAACTGAAGTCATGTATACAAAAACAATTTTTTTTAATGTTTTTTGTTGGTGCATTATAATTATACATAATGGTGGAATTTGTTGGTATACATTAGTACATGCAAGCCATCTAATTTGGCCAAAATCATTCAGAAAAGCACTTTTAAAAGGTACTTTGTGCTGTGTGCAGTGGTGCATGCCTGAAATGACAGTGACTGAGGAGGCTGAGACAGGTTCACAAGTTCAAGGCCAGCCTCTGCAATTTAGCGAGGCCCTAAGCAACTTGGTGAAACTCTGTCTCAGTAAAATATAGAGGGCTGTGCATGTAGCTCAGTGGTAAATTGTTCCTGTTTTTTTTTTTAAGATGCTGCTGTACTCAGTGGCTTGGGAGGCTGAGGCAGAGGGATCTCAAGTTCAAAGCCAGCCTCAGCAACTTAGCGAGGCGCTAAGCAACTCAGTGAGACTCTGTCTCTAAATTTAAAAATATTTTAAAAAGACTAGCATGTGGCTCAGTGGTTAAGTACCCCTGGATTCAGTTTCCAGTACAAAAAAAGTTATTTGTGCCTAGGTGGGGGTGTAGAGGGCTTGTCCAGCATGCACAGACCCTGGGTTCCATCCCCAGCACCACAGAAAAATTAAAAAGTATCCTCAGAAAAGCTGTATAAGGGGTTTGCAGGAACAAGGTGCCTATAAAATTGTTTCAAAGGAACCTGGGTTGTGTGGTAGGTTTGTGGCCTCGTGTGGCTTCACCCCAGATGTGAAGGTCTGGGAAGTCTGCTTTGGAAAGAAGGGGGACTTCCAGGAGGTCGTGCGAGCCTTTGAACTGAAGGGCCACACTGCAGCTGTCCACTCCTTCGCTTTCTCCAATGACTCGCGGAGGTGAGTGAGTGAATGTGCCCTCAGTGGTGTCTTAGCAGTGGCTCTTGGCAGCCAAAGCCCTCCCACCTGCCTGAGCTGCGGCTCTGAAGGGAAAGCAGACTTGCCTTCCTAGCTGAGGTACCTCCGGCTCCCCAGGGGCCTCCCCGCCAGAGGGAGCTGGGGCTCAAGCTGTGATTTCCCATATTACAGGATGGCCTCTGTCTCCAAGGATGGTACATGGAAACTGTGGGATACAGACGTGGAATACAAGAAGCAGCAGGATCCCTACCTGCTGAGGACAGGACGCTTTGAAGAGGCTAGCACCATGCAGTGCCGTCTGGCTCTCTCCCCTGACACCCACGTCTTGGCCTTGGCCAGCGGCACTAGTATTCATCTCTACAATACCCGGCGGGGCGAGAAGGAGGAATGCTTTGAGCAGGTCCATGGGGAGTGTATCACAGACTTATCCTTCGACATCACTGGCCGCTTTCTGGCCTCCTGTGGGGATCGGGCGGTGCGGCTTTTCCACAATACCCCTGGCCACCGGGCAGTGGTGGAGGAGATGCAGGGCCTCCTGAAGCGGGCCTCCACCGAGAGCACTCGTCAGAGGCTGCAGCAGCAGCTAACCCAGGCCCAGGAGGCCCTGAGGAGCCTGGGAGCCCTGAAGAAGTGACTGGCTCAGGAAGGGTCTTGCCGGCTTCCCCACTACTTCCACTTTGATTCCCAGGTGCTCCTGGGTGGAAACCTTTCAAAGGAGGTCTTGGTGTTCTTGCTGGCGGCCCCTCTTTTTCCTATTGAAACTGCTCTTGTCCACTTGGATCTCTCTCTCTTCTTACTGGTTTTGACTCCTGGACTGAAGAGCAAGGTGCTTTTCTTTCTCCCAGGCCCAAGGGGTGGAATCTCTCTTCACCCAGCACCGAGGAAAGTGGTCTTTGACCTTGGGGCAGCATACTCTGACACCCAGGAAGTTTATAAACGTAGAGATGAACCCCGGGAATGTTGCAGCACTATTATGGGGCGAGCTGAGCTGTGTTCTGAGCCCCAGGAAGATGAGCCTTCACCTGGGTCAGGTTACCAGCTCCATCGAGAAGTAATGAAGGTGCTGCTTTCTGGGCTTTGGTTTTCTTATTTGTAAAATGCAGAGTAATGCTCTCTGTTGCCTCCTTGCAAACACGAGGCTAAGGAAGTCTAAGTTCCCTACATTTGGAAGAAAAGTGAAAAAGAATAATATTGTCCGACGTCATTAACTGTTCAGTAAAAGTGGGACTCAAAAGAGTGTGGTTTGAAACCAAATTAGAAACATTCCTGTGTAGCAAAGTTTTATGGGACTTGGTCATACGTTTGGAGTCTGGTTCAGTTTCATGTTGTGTGGAAGAGCGGTCTGATCCTGGGTCGGGCCGTGCCACTCTAGAGAAGTCACATCCTGTCTGAGGAGACCTCTTTTCAGTTCATCACATGTTTGAGTGCCTCCTCTGGCCAGCCCGGCTAGGTACGGAGGATAAATATGACTGAGGTCAGGGAACTAAGAGACATGTCTATAATTCATGGCTACAGTAGACTGTTGTAAAAGTCAAGGCGAGAGAGAACTGAGCCATGACAGAGGTGACTGGTATGAGGGTGAATGAATAGATTGATAATTAGGTTTTTCAAAGTTTGAATCTGGGAACATAAGGACTGCTTGCATATGGGAAGTGAAGGAGATTAGGAATCTAGGCACAATGTCTTCATCCAGAATCAGTCTTGATCTCTAAAACCAGGGCGTCCAGTGGTCCCAGTGTTCCAGATGTTAGAACAGGTCACAACCTCGAAGTTGTCCTTGACTGCTCCCTTTTCATTACCACCTCCCACCCCCACTGCTCCATCCACCCTTAAGGAAGTTCCTTGACATGCTCAGTCTGCTGCCTCTCTCCATCTTTTCTGTTACCATCCTGGTCCTAGCCACTGTCACCTATTGGACCTCATAGTACAGCTTGCAATTGGTTTCCCAGTTGGGTTCCCTGCTTCCTCTGTTGTCTTAGTCACCTTTCTACCCAGCAGAGTGATCTTCTGAAAATGTAAAGCAGACCACCTTACTCCCTGGTTAAAACCCTTCAAAAGCTTCCCCTTGCTTTTTAAACAAAATCCTAAAATTCTCACCACGAAGCCATGTGACCTGGCCCCTTCCTTCTCTGTGATCTTTCTTAACCGCTCTCAGCCACCCGGTCTTGCTGTTCTTGAATGAGCTGAACTGTCTGTAGCGGCCGGTGCTTCCTGCCTGTGCTGGTCCCTCTGCGTGGAAGCCTCTTTCTTTCCTGTTGGCAGACTTGTCATGCTTGTCATAATTCAGTTCTTCAGTTCTTGGTTTCTTTTGCCTCCCAGAGAATCCCCCTCCCTGACCACCCCATCTGAAGTAGCCCTTTCCACCAATCATATCACATCCGTCACTTTAGCTTAGTTTCTTTGTTCTCTGTTACTTGATGCTATCTGAAGTTATCTTGTTTGGATATTTGTTTGCTTCAGGGGTTTCCATTTCAGTTCTTTTGGATGTCAAATAACCAACATGTCAGTGTCTGAGGCCAGTCCTTTGGGTTTGAGACGATAGGAAATGATGGAGGCTGCAGGGAGCTGAGGGCATGCGCCCTGGTTGTGGGGCAGCAGGTGACTACTACCTATTATTGTTGAAGGATCTAGCACATGTTGCCTGTTTCAGAGAAGCTAGGCTTTGGCAATGTACTAAAAAATAAAAACACAAAAATTAAGAACTGTATGGACCACACAAAACACTGAGGTGTCCAGATGCAGGCCACTTGTCAGCGTGTGGACTGTAGGACCCACTGCAGTGTGAACTGCACAGGGACAAAATCCTTGTCTGTCTTCTTTGTTCTGGGTCCTGAGCACAGTAGCTAGGACTAAGTAAGCCTTCAATAAATGTTGCACTCAGAATAGGGGCAACTGGTGGGTGGACACCTTGGTATATTTTCTATTTCTTGCACTTCCGATAATATGGTTTTATGTTCCTGATAACAGACTTCTGACTCATAATACTGTGCACATGGGACTGGTGAATATTTACTTTTGACTGCCAGAAGATTGAGACTAAAAAACTCTTTGCACACCTGTTTTGAGAAGCAGCTCTGGCATTACTCCCATAGTACACCCAAGAGGAAGTGACCATAGAATGTTGAGTTACTGAAGTCAGAAGTCTTCAGTTCCCGTTTCTGCTGGGGCCTGAAGCAGGTAGATCACTTGACCTCTGGGTTTGTTTTTTCATCTGTAAAATGGGAATAAATCCTATCATGTCCACTTGCCATGTTGTGAGTTTCTAATGAGTGAAAACACTACAAAAGGTCAGAAACTTTCTGGGGCCAGACAGCTCCACTCAGTAAAGATGCAGCTGCTTCTCTTGCAACCAGGAAGTGTCTGGATCTTCCTGGAGAGGAGGCTGCCCAGTTGCTTTTTAGCAAGACTTGGGTGCAGGCAGCATTACTATTTTTAAATTACTATTTTAACTTCGGTGGGTTCTAAATTTTTTCAAAATAAAGCGTTTGGAAAATATATATTTTTTTGAAGTTGGACAAAATGCCTTTATTTTTATGTGGTGCTGAGGATCGAACCCAGGGTCCCGCACATGTGAGGCGAGTGCTCTACCCCTGAGCCATAACCCCAGCCCCTGGAAAATATTTTAAATGACTGATAAAATCATCAAAATTGAATAAAACAAGCACACAGTTGAAGGCCTTTTGATAGTCTTGGTAAATTTCTGTTCAGGTAACGAGAGCCCTGTGGGTGTTTACAGGACCATAATCCTCCTCAGAGATCTTAAGGGGCGAGGGAACCACTGAGGTTGGGCCTTCAAGTATTTAATGAGAACCTGCGTCAAGCAGGGCTCTGTTCTCTGTGCTAGAAATAATCAGTGAACAGGCCACGTTGCCGCCTTGATGGAGCTACTCCAAAGACAAAAGTGTCTGAAATGGTGACGAATGCTCTGGAGAAAAATGGGAAAGGGGACAAACGAGTGTGGGTCTGGAAGCCCAGGGAGCGCTGCATGGAGAAGACTACATTTGAAGACCTTAAGGTGGCCTGAGCCAGCTTTTTACCACTGTGACAAAAACCTGAGAAAATAGAAGAGGAAGGATGATTTTGTCTCCTGGTTCAGAGGTTTTAGTTCATGGCTTGTGGGCTCCATTGCTACTGGCCTGTGTGGGGCAGAGGGCCTGTAGGGCAGAGTGTCCTGGTTGAGGGGTGTGATGGAGCAGAGCCAGCTTGTGGCAGCTGGGAAGTGAGCCGAGCTGGGGCAAGACAGTCCCTGAAGGCAACCCCCGCCAAGGACCCACTCTTCATGAGTCCACTCTTCATGGATTCTGTGACTCCATGATGGATGAGATCAGGGCCTTCATGATCAAATCACTTTCCCCAAAGCCCCACCTTCTGAACATAGCTGCATTCAAGACTAACATGAGCTTTTGGGAGACACTGCAGTTGAGTCATGGAAGAACAAGGTCTCTGAGGATGGAGCTTGACTAGTCTCAGCCATAGCCAGGTGGAGTTGTAGGAGGAAAGGGGAGAGCATTGACAGGAAGAGGACCATAGGGCTACTGTAGGCCATTGTAGCTTTCACTCTGAGAAGGGAAGCAGTTGCATTGAATGCAAGTTAACCAAGGCAGTCCTCTGGGCTATGAACTCAAAAGTGCCTATGGGTAATAGTTTGTAGGTTTCTACTTTGGTTACACAGAGCACAGCACAGAGGAAAGGGTCAAGGGAACCACTGAGGTTGGGCTTTCGAGTATTTAATGAGAACCTGCATAGTGCCAGGCTCTGTTCTCTGTGCTGTTGTGGGAGAGGAGGTAAGAAATGTAGGGCCAAGTCGACAAATAGGAGGAAGCAGGCATGTCCTTAGGACTACAGGGCAGTGGGTAGCCCAGGGAAGGTGATGGGCAAGATGAGCTGAAGGAGACATGGAAGTAGGAGGCTAGAGCAGCTGAGGAACAGAAGCTACAGGGGCCTAGGAGTGTGCAGAGCACTTACAGGCCTGGGTTAGATGCCCAGCGTTCCCCCCCCACCTCATGCTCCCTGCCCACTTCCCCCCCTGCACACACAACACACCCCTCCTCCCAACAGAAGAGAAACCTCAGGGTGAAGGCTGGCCAGGAGTTGACCAGAGTGAGAGAAGTTGGTGTAACTTCCAGGTGGTGGGCTGTATCTGAACCATGGGGGTTAGGGATGGGACTGAAGACCCAGCAGCTGGTTTGTCTCATGGCACTTGAGTTCCACCATGCATTTCATTTTCCTATTGCTTTCTTTACTACCACCTTGAGGACAGGGAGTAAGTCTTAGTCATCTTTGCGTCACCCACAGTTTCACTGCTAGAGGGTATATAGCAGGTGCTCCTGCCACATGTGAGTTTGGTTATTTTGGATCAGCTAGGTTTGAAAAACTGATGTGTCACCTCCAATCCTATTGTTTCTAGATTCATCCTTTCTCTCCATGTGCTAGTTTGGCTCTTTCATTCGTCAGCCAGGCTGAAGCTCTTTCTGACTCAGTCACCAGCAAGAGAACAAATGCTTATCAAGCCATGACATTTGTCAATCAGGAAAGGATGACAGTCTTACCTAAGGCTTGGTCAAGTTCAGGGATTTCTGTGGAGCAGAGAAAAAGAAGTTTATTTAAAGGGCCAGGTGTGCATACCTGTAATCCTAGTGATGTGATGCCAGCTGCTGGGGAAGGAAGATTGAAAGTTCAAGGCCAGACTGGGCAATTTAGCAAGGCCCTTGTCTCAAAGAGTTGGAGATGAAGGTCAATGGTGGAATGCCTCTGGGTTCAATTCCCAGTGCCAGGAAGGGAGCAGAGGTTTCTCTAGAGGTGGGAAAAACAACCACTACAGCCTGCTTCCTGTGTCTCCTGAAACAGCTGCCACAGGACTCTTCACCTACTATAGGTATCAGTACATGCCTGCTTGCCTGCCCACGCATGGGCCAGGGCAAAAAGCCAAGACTTGAACTAAAGAGTCATCGTTTACCCACATATTCATTGTGCACCTACAGTGTCTGTGGACGCAGGCTTTACAGTAACAGCATCTACTATTTTCAGAGATAGCTTCAAGGTCATTTTCTCTAGATTATGTTATCCTAGTACCTTGTATTTCCCTTAACCAAGCATTTGTCAAAAGGCATTTTATTTTATTTTTGTATTTGTAGTTGTTAATGGACCTTTTTTATTCATTTGCGGTGCTGAGAATCGAACCCAGTGCCTCACACATGCTAGGCAAGCCCTCTGCCACTGAGTCACAACCCCAGCCCCTCAAAAGGCATTTTAAATACTTAATTTCTGGTCTACATGTTCTATTGAACCAGAAGCTTTTTGAAAACAAAACCACTATGTTCTCAGCATTAGGTACAGAGCCTTCCATAAATCAGGCAGCATTTAATCAACAATTGCTGAATTTCATACTAAGACTGTACTTAAGTACAGTCTTAAGTAAGAGCAAGGTAGAACCCTAGGCTATCTGGGAAAGGCTGGAGTTTGAACTGGATGCTGGAAAAAGTAGTATATTTATCAGATGAAGAGATAAAGAGAATTGCAGGTGGGGAACAGGTGTGTGCAAAGGCTGGAAGCCATGCTGTAGATAGGTGTGAAACTCCCTGTGGTTGGGGCACAGTCGTGTATCTGGGGAACAAGGGTGCCAGACAGAAGAGGCAAGGCAGATGGTGCAGAGTCTTGGTTCCATCAAGGTCAAAGGGCATTAAATAATAGTTGAAACAGCAAGGCAGGAGGGTGGTGACCTCAAAATACCCTGGGGAGGCTGAGGACCACACCGGCAGTGCCTCGCACCTCGCCCTGTGCATAGCACGTGCACCAGGCTCGAAGTGCACACACGCCCGCTAAGGGGCCCAGGGGACTCCCGGGGCGCTCTAAAGGGACGCCCGGGGCGGGGCGCGCAGGCGCGCTGAGGCCTCAAGCCCCAGGGGGCGGGCGGGTGCGCGCGCTCCCTCGCGCACGCGCGCACGGAGGGGGCGACGGCCGCGGTGACGCTGAGGCGGCGGGCGGGCGGCGGCGCGTGAGGCGCGCGATTCTCCGTGTCTTGGGAGCAGTGTCCTGGCCCCCGCCGTTCCCGCCGCCGCCATGTCGGGCCGGTCGGTCCGGGCCGAGACCCGCAGCCGGGCCAAGGACGACATCAAGAAGGTGATGGCGGCCATCGAGAAAGTGCGGAAATGGTGAGGGGCGGGAGCCAGCGGTTCTGGCGGGGAACTCGGGCCCAGACCCAGAGGAGCGCGGGACTGGCGGGCAGGGTGGGAGCTGAGCGGCCGGAGCTGGGGGAGGGGGGCGTAGGAGAAGGCGGGAGGAGGGTGCGCTGGCGTCGGCGTGAGGTCAGAGGGCGCCCCGGACGCGGCCAATCAGCGGGCTTCCTGGCTCGCGGGCCCGCCCACCTGCCGCGGTCGCGGGCGTCGGGAGGCGCTTCCGGCTGCCGGACGCGGAGTCCGGTGCTGCAGTGGGGCTTCGTTGCCTACCTGCCGCTTGTCCGGGGTGGAGAGCCGCGGTGGAGTGGCCCGCCGGGCTGCGCGCAGTGCTTGAGAAGCCGCTGGAGATTGCGAAGTTTCGGGGCAGATGGCGCACTCCAGGAGCTGGCGCGGTCCTGAGGTGGAAGCCCTGCGCTCCCGAGACCCGGCTCCTAGTGGCTTGGAAACGGCCCTGACGTCGGCCGAGCGCCCGTCTTGTTATCAGGAGCTTCACCCGTTATATTTCCAGTTCGAGGCCAGCCTGGGAACATAGATTCTGCCTCGACAAACAAAAAGGGCTGGGGATGTCGCTCGGCGACTGAGCGCCCCTGGGTCCAGGCCCCCACCCTGAAGACAGGGCAGCGTTGGCTTTCTCCCCAGGAGCCTTCCAGTCGCTGAGATTTAGTGCAAATATGAAGCAATTCTTGGCTTCCTTGCCCGGGGCGTGTGGCATACCTGTGATCGCAGCCGCTGGGGAGGCTGGAGGATCCCAAGTTCTAGGTCAGTGTGAACAGTTTATCGAGACCTTGCCTCAAAATGTCAGAGAGGGGCTAGGGATGCAGCTCAGCGTTCAAGGTTCTGGGTTCAGTCTCTAGTAGAACCGCAGAAATAATTAAGTAATAATAGATTATGGCTTCCCTCTCCACATGGAATCCTCCTAGGTTTTGGTGAGACCTAAAAGTCGCACGATTCTCTTCCTTGCCATCGTTGTTCCAGCTGTCTATGCCATAGGGCTCTCCTCTCCCACCTGGAACTCCACGCCTTCCCTGGTGGATTATCCTGCTGCTGCTCTTGCTCATCGTCCAGTTCGGTCG